GAGAACTTCAAGCGGAATGCGGGGTTAGTGAACGGACGGGGTCAGGAGAGCTGTCACCCCCTCTCCCACCTGTTGTGTGACCGAGCACTCCCCAACCCTGGGGAAGAGAGGGGAGCCTTGGTAGGGTGCTGCCTCAGCTCCGCGGCTGCTGCTCCTTCTGTCCACCTTGAAAAAGAAAGGACATTTTCGTAAAGTCCTTGGAGCCCGAGTTTGCCACCTCAGGGACACCCTGAGGCCAGTGTGTTTCGGGGTAGGGGTGGTAAGGGTGGTAAGGGTGACTGTAGGTGTAGACCTCTGTAGGGGCCATTTGGTTGAAGGACCTGAAAACCCCCAGCTCAGCAATCCTTCCTGCCAGCCTCTTCATCGCCCTCACCCTCCCTCTCCCCCAAAAAAGAAAAAAAGAAAAAAAAGAAAAACCTCGGCGTCTCCACCTCCTCGCTCCCAAATCTGCCTCGATCATGTGATTGCTCTTGCACTGCCGCTGGGGATGTGTAACTGATCACTTGTATCTTGTGGGGGCTTGCGATCAGCCTTGAGTGCCCCCACCTGCCACCCCACCTCCCACCCCTCAGCCTGCCTTGCTTAGGTGGCTAAAGCCCTGCATTTCTCCCACTCCTCCCTGGAGACACCTTCGCCAACTCTTTCAGTGATGTAGGGAGAGGGTCCTGCTGGCCCCTGAAGAAGACAGTAAGTGGATCCTGCCCTCCCTGATCACTTCAGTGGGACCCTCTCACTCTCTCTTGCTGTATCTTCTAGCCCAGGGTCCTTAGGCAGGGGGCAAGGGTTGGGAGAGGCAGGTGGAGATAGGTTCAGGTTCTGGACATTGGATGCGATGGGACAAGGACATTTTTAAGGGTCAGCCTGGCTTGAATTCCTTGGTAACAGTCAGATGGTGGGGGGAGAGGACAAGGTGATGCCTTGAACCCCAAGGTCTTGCCCTGGAGGCTCCTCAGTACTTAGTACCCAGCTTCTGACCTCTGTATCCTTTTGGGTCCTCATCATTCCCATACCTTCTCCTCCCTCTTCTCCCTCCTTCCCCTCTCATTCTTTCTTCCTTCCTTTCCTCCCCCAGGATCTCTCCTTGTGATGGTTCATTCTACTTTGGTTTCTCAACATCAAAGGGGCAAAGCTGGATCCCCTGGGTGTCAGTCCTGCGCCAAGCCCAGCCACTCCATCTGCTCCTTTCCCTGCAGAGGCTAGCATCGTTGGGTGAAGGTCAGGGCCCACGGCTGCTGTGTGGTGTGCGTGTGCGTGTGCGTGTGCGCGTGCATGTGCGTGTGTGTCTGTGTGTCTGTGTGAATGGGGGCACACATCTGTTCAGAGCCCGGCTGCAGATCAGCTCCTGACCCGAAGGAAGGATTAGTGACCTCTTCTTCGCTGTGCTGCTCTTGCAAATAACAGTCACGCTAATGCCTCATATTCAAAGGCAGCTTACATTCCTGAATATTTCTTGGCTCTTTGCAAAACCCAGTACTGCTTTGCCTATCTCCCAAAACATAGAATCCTATGGAAACCTGTCTCTGGCTGATTCCCCTACCTGATCATCTGATCATTTCCAAGTTTTTCTACCACCCACCACCCCTAACCTGAGCAGAGAAGCAAAGTTGCCTGAGGCTGCTTTGAAAATTTCTGACCAGATGAAGGTGGGAAAATTAGACTGAGGGCTTCTTTGAGGGTGCCTTTTAATCAGCCCTGACTCAGGCAGGCTGGCACCCGAGCTGTCTACCTTGCTACTGCTGCCCTGCCCTCTGGGTGCTGGGGGCAGCCTAGATGGAGGGGATGGGGGACACTGATTTGGCAGCAACATGAGGAGTCCTTGCCTCCTTCTTCAAAACAGCTTATTTGAGAGCTGTAGAATGAGGCTTCCTGGGGAGGTGCCGTGCAGTCATGTTTGGGCTGTTAGCCATGAAGTTTGCTCTTGACAAGAGCCTAAATTAAAACAAATACCCGAGCTGTCATTTGCCTGCAGCATGGTTTTGTGGCTCCCTGAGGAAAGTTCCTCTGCCTCTCATGAAGCTATTTACTTATAAGGCTCACAGTCACAGGGAGGCAAGGCCCCACAAAAGCCAGATCCATCAGGAATTGTAAAGGGGATGCACTCAGGGCATAAGGTAGCCAGTACTTCTTAGGAATATGAATGAGCCAGTGAGAGAGGCTTCTCCTTAACACTGCTCCTGGGAGCAGCAATAATAGCATCTCTTGAGGACCCACTATATGCCTGGCACTGTACTAGGCATTCTCCATCCAGTCTCTTCCAACCTCACAACTCTGCAAGATAGGCAGTCTTCTCTCCCTCTTACAGAAAGAGAGGCTGGATAGGCTCAAATTATTACCCAAGTCACCTAAGTGGTAAATGACGAATTTGGAATTCAGATCATACCCTAGGAGGAAGACTCTGAGTGTCACCTAGATATGCCTGTGCTTAGTTAAGGCCTTGGAATGTCATGGAATGGAGGATATCTGTCTCTCTGGTCCTCTGTCACAGAGTTCTCCCCAAAATGGCCCAGCAGGGTAAGTGGCCTCAATGACTCTGAGCCCAGCTTGATTATGTGTCTCTTGTGGGACTAGGGGCTGGTCCTGGAGCCAGGGCAGGGTGGTTGAGGTTCTATCTAATTCCACTGAGGCTGGTGATTCTCACTGGAGGGCTGCAGTGTTGGCGATTAGTCTGACTCAAGGAGATGGGTTGGCCCCCCGCTGCCCGTGTGATATAGGACTCATTGGAACAGGGTCTTTGCCCCTGAGAAGCTAGCGTGGTGGTTGACGGTTCCAGCCGTCCCACTTCCTGTCTCTGGACCGCTCATTTTCCTACATTAATGTGATAATGTCAGCGTTGCCCCTCAGAGCCTTGCCTGGATTCTTTCCCTTTAGCTCCTATAGTTCTCTCTGCATGTGTTCTCTATCTTATCTCCTCTCTGGACTTTATCTCATCACTCTTTCCACTAAACACGTACCACTTTCTCTTGGTTCAGGGGTCAGGTTGGATCAAGTCAAGTTCTATGGAATAACAAAAATCAGGGGTGCTCTGAAAGTTTCTCTGTCCCTCTCAGTGGAGATGAAAAGCTTTCACTATATGTTCAGGATTTATTTAGAAGAGAACTGAGGGCTACCTTTAAGGTCTCTTCCTTTGCCATTCCAGCCTCTTTCTGTCCCAAGCAATTTGGCTCTGGCCTCAAACAGGCCGACTCTATGGAGTCAAGCGAAAGCTTGTAGTTATTTGGACCTCACAGAAGGCAGAAAAGGATCATCTGTTGTTATTAGAACCTGCATTTTAGAGCTTACTTCCGTTACCCCAAGCATCATTTCCAAGGGCCATTTCCACCTCTGGTGCTATTTTCATGCCCCTTATAGACCCAGTGCCC